TTTTTTTTTTTTTTCCAGGTATTAAGCCTAAAGAAAACAATTTGCCAGAACCAGATGATGTAATGAGCTTTCAGTCACACATGACTTTAAAACCCACAAGTGAAATCTTTCACAAGCAGAATTCCAAGTTAAATTTGGGAATTTCACCTGAACCTACATTACCACAGGAATCGATTTCTGCCTCATTGCATAGCTTGCTTTTACCTAAAAATGCTCCATGTTTGAATGCACAAGAACAATTCATGTCTTCTCCAAGACCTTTGGCTATACAGCAAATTAAGGCTGTCACTAAGTCTCTAATTTCAGAATCTAGTCAACCTGGGACCTCATGTCATAATATATCCGTGATTACCGATCTCCACTTGAGCACCATTGACTGGGAAGGTACTTCTTTTAGTAATTCTCCAGTGATTCAAAGGAATACTTTCTCTCAAGGTTTAAAATCAGAAGTTGAATCAGAGCTATCAGCTATCCCTGGTGGCTTTGAAAATATCCCAGAACAACTGCCATGTGAATCAGAAAGGTATACTGCAAATATAAATAAAGTATTGGATGAGGTTTCTGATATAATTAGTCCTGAAGAGCATCTGCTTTCTGGTATTACTGATTTATGTCTTCAGGATTTGCCTTTAAAGGAACGAATATTTATAAAATCATTATATACTCAGGATAATCTGCAACCAGATGTCAACCTGAAAACTTTGTCCAAACTTAGTGTGAAAGAATGTTGTATTGCTAACAGTGGTTCTGATTGTGCATCACATCTTTCAAAGGATCTTCCGGGAATTTCCTTGCAGAATGAATCCGGAGACTCTAAAGTTCTAAAAGAAGATGAGCTGCTTCAGGAAGACTATAAAGCCTGTACTTCTGTACCTTATTCTATCAGTAACACAACAGAAAAGACCTGCAGCGTTAGATCACCAAATGCTGCATTAGATTATAGTAGAAAAATTGATATGCAAACCACTCAGAAAATTTTAATGAAGAAGAGTGTTTGCCTTGACAGACATTCCTCTGATGAAGAAAGTGCTCCAGTGTTTGGAAAAGCTAAGTACACAACTCAAAGAATGAAGCACAGTTCTCAAAAGCATAATTCATCCCAGTTCAAAGAAAGTGGCCACAACAAGTTGAGTAGCCCTAAAATACATATTAAAGAAACTGAACAGTGTGTCAGAGCTTATAAAACAGCTGAGAATGAAGAAAGCTGTTTCCCAGATTCAGCAAAAAGTTCTCTGAGTTCTCTAGAGTGTCATAAAGAAAACAACTCTGGTACTTGTTTGGATAGTCCTCTTCCTTTACGCCAGAGATTAAAACTAAGATTCCAAAGCACTTGAAAGGAATTTAAAACATTTAAGTATAAATTATTATTTTAGTGCTATCAGCAATAGCAGAGACAGAGGGAAGGTATGTAGTTAATGCATAGTAAAAATTTAATGTGGTTCTGTATGTCATGAAACAGTTGCCATTTTAATCAAAATTGTAATTTTTAAAATGTTAACTAAAACCGGTTTTAAAAGATCCTCTGTATTGAAAACTTCAGATAATATATATTTTTAAAATACTGTAATCCCAGCACTTTGGGAGGCCGAGGCGGGTGGATCACGAGGTCAAGAGATCGAGACCATCCTGGTCAACACGGTGAAACCCCGTCTCTACTAAAAATACAAAAAATTAGCTGGGCATGGTGGCACGTGCCTGTAATCCCAGCTACTCAGGAGGCTGAGGCAGGAGAATTGCCTGAACCCAGGAGGTGGAGGTTGTGGTGAGCCGAGATTGTGCCATTGCACTCCAGCCTGGGTAACAAGAGCGAAACTCCGTCCCAAAATATATATATATATATATATATATTTGTCATCCTTCTGTCCTTACTGTTCCTTAATTGTAGTTTTAAAATAACTAGTATAGTACTTGACAAAGTAAATGCTTCATCTGTTTGCTCAGTTTTGCTTTTTCTTCCACAAGCCTCTAAAGTATTTATTTAAATTCCAGCTTGTTGCCAAGAGGATAATTCTTTATAATTCTCTGCATTCTTTCAAGGCCTTGCAAGGTCTTCCATTATAACTCTCTTTCCTAAGAGTTATATTCTCCCTCAATGTGAAGATACCTTTAGTGTGCTCTTCTACCTTGAAGGCCTCTCAAGGTTCTCTCTTTCCTAAGAGTTAGATTTTAATTCTCTTTCCTAAGAATTAGATTCTCCCTCATTGTGAAGATACCTTTGGTGTGCTTTTTCACTTTTGATGTCTTAATCTCCTTTTTAAGGGACAAAAATAGAAAAGGAGAGAAGATGTCAATATATTTAGTAAAAATCATGCTTGTAATGGCTGAATAAACTGAGCAAAGTAACTTCTTATGTATCCTCAGAACTTCGCAGGTACATAAACTGGAAAAAGATTTGGAAAATCAGATGTATAACCAAAAAGATTAGAAACTTGCCCAGGATTACCTAGCTAACTAATAATCCTGTGGGAATCAGTTTTCTTGCCTGCTATTTTTTAAATTTTTTTTGTTTTTTCCTTCTATAGCACTTTTCCCCCTTTTATTTTGAATCTATGCAGTATTGACTTTGATACCATCAAATATTACATCTTGCATTAATTTAGGTAGCACTGAAAAATTCTAGAGAGGCATCCAGATTTAAAAGAAAAAAAGGAAAATTGTCTCTGCAGATGACAAGATTGTATGTATCAGAAATACTAAGGAATTCACTAGAAAACTATTAAAACTGATAAAGTGAGTTCAGCAAGGTTGCAGAATACAAGACCAATGTGCAATGATCCTTGGGTTTGTTTGTTGTTTGTTTGTTTGTTTGAGACAGAGTCTCGCTCTGTGGTCCAGACTGGGATGTAGTAGCCCCATCTTGGCTCATGGGACCCTCTGCCTCCCAGGTTCATATGATTCTTGTGCCTCAGCCACCTGAGTAGCTGGGATTAACAGGCATGTGCCACCATGCCCAGCTAATTTTTGTATTTTTAATAGAGATGGGATTTTGCCATGCTGGCCAGGCTAGTAATGAACTTCTGGTCTCAAGTGATCCACCAACCTCGGCCTCCCAGAGTGCTGGGATTACAAGTGTGAGCCACCATACCCAGCCTCAATTGTATTTCTGTACGCCTCTAAATAAATGGAAATACATTCCATGTTCATGAATCAGAAGACATAAGATGACAGTACTCTCCAAACTGATCTACAGGTAAAATGTAATTCCCATTAGTTCCAGCTGCTTTCTTCTCTGATTCTAAAATTCATATGGAAATTTCAGGAACACAGACTATTAAGAATAATCTTGAAAAATTTTGACTCTCCTGATTTTAAGTGTAAAAACTACAGTAATGAAGAATGTGTTGTGCTGGTGTAAAGGTAGATCTATAGGTCAATACAGATCAATGGCATAGAATTGAGAGTTCAGAAATAAGCCCTCACATTTATGGTCAGTTGATTTTAAACCAGACTGCCAAGACAATTCAATAGGAAAACAAAACAGTCTGAACCAACTGTCTTTTGGATCTATTGGATTATCTACGTAGAAAAGAATGACATTTGATTCCTACTTCACATCATATTTAAAAACAAAATGGATCAAAGACCTAAATGTAAGAGCTAAAGCTATAAAACTCTTAGAAGAAAACGTAAATCTTTATAGACATAAATCTTGGTGACTTTGAATTAGGCAAGGATTTCTTAAATATACCAAAAGCATAGGCAACAAAAGAAAATACACAAACTGGACTTCATCAAAACAAAAAACTTGCTTGAAATGACACGATCAAGAAAGTGAAAAGACAGCTTACAGAATTGGAGAAAATATTTGCCAATCATAAATGTGATAAGGGACTTGTATCTTAGAGGGACTTATATAAAGAACTCATAACTCAATTATGAAAAGACAACTTTAAAATGAGCAAAATAACAGGCATTTCTCCAAAGAAGAAATACACATGGCCAGTAAGCCCATTTAAAAATTCTCAGTACTGTTAGTCATCAGGAAAAAGCAAATCAAAACCACAAGATACCACTTCACACCCGATGTAATGTCTGCAATCAAAAAGATAATAACTAGTATTGATGAGGATGTGGAGAAAATTGGAATTCTCATATGCTGGTAGGAATATAAAATGGGGCAGCCACTTTGGAAAAAGTCTGGTATGTCTTCACATGGTTAAATGTAGAGTTACCGTATGATCCAGCAATTTCACTCCCAGGTGTATACCCAAGGGAAATGAAAACATATATCCACATAAAAACCTGTGCACACATTTCCATAGCCACATTATTTATAATAGCCGCAAAGTGGAAACAACCCCCATTCCAGAATGAGGAAGGGGAAAAACTAATGTATGTCATCTCCTGTGTGCTAAGCATTTAACTAGGTTCTTTACAAACCTTGTATCATCTCAACAACTCTTAAAGACTGTATTGCAATGTTTTGGATATTCAGAGAGAAAGCATCCTTGCTGAAACATTCTTCCAGGGTTCTGGTTATTTTGATTTGTTCAGTCGTGGCTATGATAATTTAGACCATCTCGTCCAGGTAAATTCTTAGAATATCTAGAGGAATTCTTGAGATTGTATGAGATGAAAAATAACAAAATTAGTTGGGAGTGGCCAGTCTGGGTTCATTTTGCTGTATATCTCAGGGGTCCCTAACCCCTGGGCCATGGACAGGTACCAGTCCATGACCTGTTAGGAACCGGCCTGCACAGCGGGTGGTGAGTGGCATGCAAGCAATAATTACCACCTGAGCTCCACCTCCTGTCAGATCAGCAGTGGCATTAGATTCCCATAGGAGCATGAACCCTATTATGAACTACACATGCAAAGATTTAGTTTGCAAGCACCTGCTGAGAATCTAATGCCTGATGATCTGAGGTCAAACAGTTTCATCCCACAACTGTCTCCCCTGCATGGTCTGTGGAAAAATTGTCTTCCACAAAACTGGTCCTTGGTGCCAGAAAGGTTGGGGACCACTGATACAGCTAATATAGGCGTAAGTGTAAAATTATATTTTTTCCTCCTCAAGAATTTCTCTATTTTCATTGTCCAGTTTATACCGGTTATTAAAGCATTCCATGTTCTTGTTCTTTGATTTGGTCATGTTATCACTTGTATATCAAATCTTATCATAAGTTGCTGCTCATCACTTCATTGTCTTGTAGAGGATGCCTTACGTCCCTTTCAAATATTCTGCCAAAGATCTGCCTCCAGCTACGAGGATCCTGCAATTGGTTTCATTCTGGTGGCTCCATACCAAAGCCCTGTTCTGGCCTAACTACTTTGGGCTTTGTGTAATCAATCTTGAGTCCTTGGTGGTTTTTCTTTTAGAATTTTTTTTTTTTTCATATAAAATCTCCATCTGGCTGGATGCGGTGGCTCATGTCTGTAATCTCAGCATTTTGGGAGGACACGGTGGGTGGATTGCTTGAGGCCAGGAGTTCAAGACCAGCCTGGCCAACATGGCAAAACCCTGTCTCTAAAATATGAAAATTAGCAGGGCCTGGTGGTGTACCCCTGTAATGCCAGCTACCCGGGAGCCTGAGGCAGGAGAATCGCTTGAACCTAGGGGGCGGAGGTTGCAGTGAGCTGAGATGGTGCCACTGCACTCCAGCCTGGGTAAAAGAGTGAGACTCTGTCTCAAAAAAAGATTAAAATTTAAATTAAAAAATAAAATCTCCATCTAGATTTTATAATGAGGACTCTACTTTTTCCTTTTGAGTGGCATGACATGAGCTATCTTGTTAGGCATGGCTAGCTTCAAATTCTTTTCTGTTAACAGATTTTCTCATTTACCTTAGAGACACTTTCTGACTTTTCTGAGACTCATTTATTCAGATGTTGATATGACAGGTATTGTGTTGGGCCCTGGAGATACAGTGATCAATGGTATCTTATAAGGTTGTTTTGATCTTTGTGAAGTGGCTGCCACCATTGACACGTTGTAGGGAATCGGTAATTGGTAGCTGTGTCAGTTACTATCATTTGGAAAGAGCACTGTCAGATTTTGGATTCAAAGTGAATATAGCCAAAAGGTAGCTTTTGGTAAAAATATGGACACAGTAACACTAGTAGGGGGCAGTGTGAGGGTGGGGGATGTGCTTTCAGAATAAGGAAACTCTAGCATCATCACACAAGGGATCCTAACAGTTGTGGCATTTGAACTACTGGAAAAAATGTGCTTGCTTAAATATAATTTGGTAACTAATACTCATCTAATCACCCACCATATGTGTTGAGCACCCACTTTGAGCAAGTTTCTTAGGCCTATGTATAACAGCCAGCGGGAAGCCCAGTGAGTTTTAAATTTTTCCAGGTCACCCAACTAGAAAAGTTTAAAGCTGGGACTAGAACTCAGATTTCCTAATTCATGAGTGAATACAATTCTCTGTATTTATGTTTCCATACATCACTCAGTTCTTGACTCAAATATCACCTCTGAGAGTCCTAATCTTTTTTTTTTTTGAGACGGAGTTTCGCTCTTGTTGCCCAGACTGGAGTGCAATGGCGCGATCTCGGCTCACCGCAACCTCCGCCTCCTGGGTTCAGGCACTTCTCCTGCCTCAGCCTCCT